GTTCAAGACTGAGTGGGAGGAGCTAAAGGCTATGGAATCAACCATTGCTTGGAACCGTCAGCATCTACACACTTCGAGATGTGCTTCTTCAGGGGCTCGAGCGCTTATAGGAATGCCCCTTGTGCAGTGATATCGGTCCTTCACACAAGTAAACAAGTAACGTGTAGATAGGGGCGTTAAACCTATACCATTTTTACACAACAGACACCAGTAGTCAGTAGACATGTATTCATATATCTAAAGCCTGTGCAGATTATATCATTATTTGACTACCGATCACACAGAAATTTTGCTAGAGAAAGCATATGTGGATACATGTAGGCCTACATGTACCTTCTTGATCTACGCCCTTTTACATGTGCCTCTAAAGCAGCGGACACACTGGCTAATAGTTCTAACATTTCATTAACCCTCTATCTGTACGCCCTAGGGTCATTTTGTACCTTCGGGGTTGTATTCTTCATATTTTAGAACACTTCTAGACTCTAGTACGAAGATCTCTTTGAAACTTTCAGTATTTCTCCCAAAAAAATAAATCATTTTGACAAACTTTTGCAAAGCGTACGCGGATTAACAAGTACATTTTCCTCTTTGAAATCGGTGGCTCAGAGTTCCTCACTTCGTATGGATACAATGGTAAAACACGACGAACGGATAGGGTTAATTGTCAGGGACATGAGGCAGCTAGCAAGTTTATGACCGTTGTCCTGGCCCAGACACCATAAAGCAGATCATCCACCCTATTTTGTGTTCTGTGGTCCGGATCGACTAGATCTACCCTAGTTAGCTGGAACTGTGAGGCTTCGGGGGGCCTGGCTATAATATATAATAGATAGCATTTGTATACCGCAAATCCCCGCTCAACTGAAGGCTCTATGCGCTTCACAATCTATACTATTACCCCAGCAGACAAATAGGCGGACAAATCAGTTACTGTTGACCTTCCGGCAATCTTCAACATCATGATGTATGTTGTTAGCCTCGACTTACATCCTGCTAATTAATTCAAACCTCTATATCCTGGAACAGAGAGTGAGTCTGATGTGCTCGTAGCTCTTTAATACGGGGTGCTCACTACGGATGGGATCGGCCGTGTTTGCTTTTTCAGTTCCACGCGACCGAGTCGGGTGATCGGCCCAATCCAGCCGTAGTGGGCACCTCGTATAATATTTCGTCCATCCTTCATCTTTTCCCCTGTTTAATTTTCCTATCTCTGAAAAATTCAAGCGGCTGTAGAGTACTCTACTAGAGAGAGGTGTGTAGTGGAAGAAGGTTTGAATAACTATGAGCTGTTAGCACAAATTTACATGTTCGTGGCTCTGAATATTGGTTGTTTTGTAGTTTGAGAAATTTGGAACGAATTCGGCATCACTCTTAGAATATGAACAGCCTTTTATTGTAGGGATGTACTTTTTCACCCTCTAAAGAAAACAGATCAGAAAAGATGCCCTAAAAAGGCTACTTCATACCACCCTGACTGGCTAGCCGTGGGCAGGCCGCATATAATTCAGTGGTAAGAAAAACAAAAAAAGCAAACGTATCAAATCTTCTTTCCTCAGATTAGGTTCTTGGAACATTCTCACTCTGCAGGACTATCCCAAAAGATCAGAGCAGAGAACCACACTTATCACCAATAAACTAGCAAGACAAGCCTATAGTCTCTATAGTGTTGTTCTTAGCAAAACCAGGTTCCCCTTTGAGGACAAACACAAGGACGATCATGAAGGTTATACATTCTATTGGACAGAGAAAGATAAAATATATGAAAATTGGCGGGATGGAGTCAGGATGACAATAATTTAGACCAGAAATGTTCGCTATTTGGACGCCCTCCCAACAAGCTTATGACACTTTGCACCACTTTGGAAACTGATGCCTTGCCGCACTTGTGAGTTTACTGAAATATGTCAAAGTGAAAAGTGCTTACTTTCATCCAAAATTTCATAACATAGCCCCACATTTTTTTCCACACATTTCCAAAATATCCAACAAATTTCACTCCATCCATACCGAGCTTTTTCTCTCTGCCTGAAACTACACAATTTATAGAAAGCCTGGTCAATAAAGCAACATCAGTCACATAAGGTACACTGCAACATTTTATTGCAATAAAAAAGTATACAATTTTTTAAATGAATTCTTTTCAACCACCAATAACAAACTAAAGAGATCTGATCGGGTGAACACTCTCCATCCAGAACAAAGACAAGGGAAGGGATAGGCATTAAATGAATAAATCTCACCATTTACTATGAAGAAATAAATCAATAATTAATAACACACATTTAGAAGCAGGCTAAATGATCGTTGGCAGTGCCTTTGAAAGATATTTTCGTCCAAAAATGACAATGACGGTTAAAGGTGTCCCGTAGTATGTGAAGGCAGCAATATCCGGTATTATGAAAGTTTGAAATCCAACGCTTCAGACACAATGATTAACGTGCAACATGACTTTAATACTCCCTGAGTTATTTCCAACTTCAAAATTTCCAGGTAGCGTAATGACTTTCTCCATAATTGAAGACCTCTTAATAAGTTAATTGTTTCCATGACAAAGTCTTAACTTAGAGAACGAATGCATATATTTATTTAATAGACATAATATGGTCACCCTAAATGAGTTAAAAAAACCCTGTATAAAGACAAGACTTCAAACATAACACCTAATTTTAACATGATACAACAGATCATTCTAAGAATGATTAAATTTTCACAAATAAAGACCATTTTTTCCCCATTTCATAAACGCTTTCAAAGAAGAGTATTAAGAAATTTCTTATAGGCATCACATGACTAGATCGAGGGGAAACTTGGAAGCTTGAAGTGAGCTCTACTCTAACATTAATACACAAAAATGAAGACGATCTTCACCAAGTATATCTTTTTAATGTACCAAAGACTTTCAAATTATTTGTGGATTTTTACTTAATTAAGATTATGTCAGTATGATAATTAAACCATAAAAATCAGGTCAGTTTTATAACTTCTATCCAAACAAAGCATCGTTATTCATCCCAAAATCATATATATGTTTCACTTCATTTTAAGCAAAGTCCGCTGTACAATATTTTCAAGATGAACACATAGTCATCAATAAAAGTCAAAGAACACCATCTTCCACTTTCCTGTCTTTCACAACATCAAATAGCAAATTTGAAAGTTTGTGCCTTGAACTATTCCATGTAAAATGTGATGGAGGTTGAGTCTCATCCCCTTCCTCGAAGTCAAAATATTTGCTCAGTTCTATAGCCAGGCTGGATTTGATAAGGCCAATGCCTCCATACTTGGCCGGGGCTGGGTGGTACACTCGCCCAGTGTGAGGAAACATGCACACATTGATGGGTTCAAATGGTACAGTCATGCGGTCCCCCGCTCCACCGTAAGACAAAAGGTCAGGACTACTTTCTGTGCCTCCGATAATATGCGTGTAGACTATGGGTGTGTCGTCACAACGGACAAAGTTGAGCTCACGTCCACAAGGGGAAATATACGGGAATTCATCACTGTATTTTCCTCTGTCATTTTCTTTCAGACGTTTGAAGAAAAACACCAGAAAGTCTTTTTCTGCAGAAAAAGAACAGACATGAATACAAACAATTAGTAAAAATATTCACAGACAAAATATAAAATAAGTAAATACATTTTCTCCTCAAATGCACACTTTTATACATACTACTTTTACAGATTCACTACAGATGAAAATGAATAACTTGAACCTGCAGAAACTGTGGCCTTTTCCTTAAGGCCTCTTGCGTACAGCTGATGTTTGGTGTTTTAGGATTAAGATCCAATGGAAGTAATCACTAAAAAACTTGAAATACAAACTTTGTAAATTTTATCAGGCTCCCTGATTTTAAAGAGACAATTAAGGGCTTGATAGATTGAGGTTAAAAATTTGATTTTCCAAACCCTAGAACAATTTTGAGGTTGATGGAGAACTTGAGAGTTTTTCCCACATTTTTCCCACCTCTGATCTTTGACAAAACAGAAAATAGTACAATAATTTCTCTTCTTCCTCATAGGCAACACCCCCACCCCCCTCCCCCAGTCCATGGAGGTTCCTTGCACATTTTATCTGTCACAGTAGGAATTGAAAGTCAGGGAAAAGCAGTCAGTACATCTTTCTAAATCTTCTGAAAACTTTATAAATTCACCAGTCAAAAAAGCCTTACTTCATCTTACACTACATAATAAACTGTGAGAACAGCATATTTATATAGGCCTATATACTGAAAGCCATTAAAAACGCAACACTTTGTTCTCAGTTTGTACACGTTTTTATCAAACAAAGATAGATTAAAAGAAGTGTTTATTGAAGTTTATTTATCTTCCAATCCAGGTGGACCATTTTCATAACATACTTAGACTGATTTTGATACATTGTCTTCCTTCTTTCGGAGTACCCCCTTCAGACAAATTTGCAGAAAAGCACAAATCGAAATTTGATAAAGATCTCTCACCCTTTGTAAATTGTATGGCCATAATTAACATGTATACTGACAAAGACATGTCTTCACATGGATTTTATAACATTTTCAATTTTTTGTTGCGAAATTCTGTCCCACTTTTGCATCAGTGCGATGTCCAGCTGTTGCAAATTCGCAAAACAGCCTCTTGTATGCACTTTGCAGTTCAGGTCATTCCATATGTGCGCTGTTAGAGACAAGTCTGGTACGAACACTGGCCATTCCAGGACATTCAAGTTCTAACCTTCCAGAAATTGTGTTGTTTGTTACGTGGGCAGTGTGAGTGCAGGAGTTGTAGTGTTGGAAGACTGAGAGGTTCTGATTTTTTCCCTCATGCTGTATAGCCCAGTGAAGACGATGCTGTTGTCGCGGATTCGTTAAAACAGTCCTAAATAAGGTGTTCTTGATCCAAGTCCTGAACATACAAGATTGCGCCTCACACTGATGGAAAACATATTTCCATGCACTCCTTGAATGCCTTGAGCAGTTACTTTTGCAGGAATTAAACGATTCCACAGATGTGACAGCAAAGTCTGCTTGTCTTGAGCAGGGCCGGTGACTCGAGACTGTTCTATTCATTTACCTTCAGTCAGCAGTAGCAGAAGACATTAAAGCAATTTTTAGATTGAGGATAAATTTATTAAGCTTTGCACACTCAGCCCTGGTTTGAAACAAAACTATCTATCATTAAGGTTTTTTTTCATTGGTTAACCTTTACGCCATGCCGCCAGGCGAGGAAGGGGAGCACGGGTGAAATTTGGAAGCAGATGTGTGTTAACCCCATCCATGTGATCCCTAAGCGGTGCAGCTGGTAAGTGCTCTAGAGATGTTCCAGCACGGAAACTTTCATGTGTAGCTGGCGGCTAGAGGTGTGAAATTAGTTTGACCATTACCTGCCCCATTGTGTTGACTGGGGCAATATTTCATGTAAAGAACACCCCTGTGCAGGTCAAATTTGAATGACCTAAGAAGAGAAAAAAAAAGATAGGGGACAATGGAAAAGAAAGGAAAAGAATAACAATTAAAAGTCGTCAAAAAGGATTACCTTTGAAACATGAAGTGAAATTCTTTATTCTTGCATCATCCAAGAAAAGCTGGGGAGCACAAATGATCATCTTTTAAGATTACAGACATACAGGAATATCATCGTTTTACTACAGTGGAAACCATATATAACAGGCCTGGTAATAACAGGGATTTTTTAAATCCCCGATTTTTCCAACTCTTTGTCTCTATTAAAAGTTATCGGCAATAACAAGGCCTCATCTGAGCCCAATCGGTTATAGCAGGGACAAAACTCGTTAACAATCTGTAAAAAGAGAGAGAGAGAGAGAGAGAGAGAGAGAGAGAGAGAGAGAGAGAGAGAGAGAGAGAGAGAGGAGAGAGAGAGAGAGAGAGAGAGAGAGAGAGAGAGAGAGAGAGAGAGAGAGAGAGAGAGAGAGAGACGCAGTGATAGATCAAACACACGCATGCCACGCCACTGCAAGCACACGCAGCGGGTGAAGTGAGAGAGGGCTGCGATGTGCTGCAGACTTTGATCTAGCCCTAAGCCTTTCTACACTACCCATGAATAATAAATACACACAGATTAGTCCACAAACGCTTACTTCCCTTGCATTTCTGACATAACAGGACTTTTCCTCTGGTCCCACCATCCCTGTTATATCAGGTTTCCACTGTACATTGATCTAAGTGTGGGAAAGCAGTATAACATTAATAACAACTTAGAATTCAAACGTACAGCTGAAAATAAAGGATCAAAATGTCAAATGAACCGTATTGATGGTTGATTGTAAATGTTTTACACCTCCATTTACACAGTTATTATTTAAAGGATCCCTGCTCCTGCATTATCTAAATTGTGTCAATGAGGCTGTAAACATTTACAATCTCTCTCTCTCCCTCTATTACTGGCATCCGTGGTTTAGCTGTTAGAGGAGTTTCACCATAGCGTGCAAAAGACCTGGGTTTGATTCTGGAGTTTTTTAAAATGAGTATCTAGGTCTTTCTGCTGAGTCCTTATAGCTCTCACAGTCTGGGTTGGCACAGGTATTCAGGCAGGGTCCAAACCCGTTTTCTAAATGATCTAGGCTGTGTCGATAGGGGCATAAAACACTTGCACTGAAAAACAAAATTTTTCTCACTCTCTCTCTACTGATCTGGGCCATCCCTAACTAAGAGAGATAAAGAACATTCTGGCAGATAGGTGGAAGTACAATAAAACAGCTGCTTCTATACTTTGAAATCAAACTCCTATCTTTTGCATACTGTAATGAAGAGTCTGTCTTTTATACTAAAGACACTAACAGAGGAATACATGATCATCACATGAGGAAAAGGAACAACAGAAGGGGCAAATCCCACAAAAGATCTTTCAGAATGGGTGGTCAGTGGTTAAAAAAAATTATGCTAAAACTAGAAGACTTGTCTTTTGTTTGTGAGATACACTTGTTCAAAGTAAGCAAGTAATGTATAAAGGGAAGCAAAGTGGTAGGCCATCCTGAAATGCCACCTTTTTTGCCCCTTTTCAACTTCCTTGATCAAAAATAGTTGGGTTTCAAAAGAGAGGCATTTTTGTTTCTTTGATGCCATATATCGAAGAAGTGCTGGAAAATTCAAGGAAAATACACTGAGCACACATGCGCAAAAGGGCCAATTAATTCAAATGCACGCCTGTGTCATCTCTGATGTATTATTTGCCAAACAAGTTGCGTTGCTGTGTAGAGCCAAACATACTTCAATGTTTGATTCCAAAGAGCAGCATGCAGTTCATTATGTTCCATCTATGTCAAAACTAGCTTATCATTGGAAATATTGATCATAGCCGGGGCTAGTTGATGACTAACCTGAATGTATCTCTGCTGACGTTCTAAACCTGGACCGCTTATATTTATGCATACATGCAGTCACACGTGTTCTGGCCGCCTGTCTGACCCAGACGCATGTGTTGGTATGAAAGAAGGCCACTGATTGGTCGCATAAGGGATATAAACAATAGGTAAAGCATATAACCATTCACAATACAGGTGCCATAGATGGTTTCCAGGAAGATAAAGTTTTTTGTGGGAGGAACAGGAAAATGAGCGAAGCCACATCAGCGGGGACTGTGACTTTGTCGAAACTGAGTTGCTCATTTATGTTTTTGTTGAAAGTTATTTTTATCGATTTCAATGAATAAACCCCCCCCCCCCCCCGGCGGACTCCAGACAGGTAGTCAGCGGCGTGGCATTGTGATTGGCTAGTCCACTGATGAGTGAGGTGGGGGCAGGCGGCAGAGAGAGACGCATTACATGAACCACTCCAAAAGTGATGTGCCATAGATCTAGCCTAGGCCTGGACGCTCAGTATAAGAAGAGCGTATAGGCCATAGCCCTAGGCCCGGCCAAAAAGTAAAAAAAGAATTGGAGAGCGTTGAGTGTGTGATTCCTGATTCATTTAATTGCGATAGTTGATGCTCAGACTCAGGCATCAACTTCACCAGTTCTTTCTACAGTAGGCCTACCAGTACGATAGATAGCACAAGCAATAAGACCGAGGAAAAGATGGCTTCCAACAAAAACAAAAGAAATGCTTCTCACTTGAATTGAAGACCGAGATAATCAACGAAGTTGACAAGAAAAGGAAGAATAGGCCTAATCTAAAGCCCAAATTTGATTGATATGAAGGGAGATAATCATGTGAATTTTAGAATTTTTATCGGTAATGCCCGTTTGAGCCTACAGCGAGATTTTTCTTCTGGAACCCCAAGTCCCACTATAGCTGTGTTCTAATAATATTTATATATAAAAATAAATTAGTTGTGGTTTTTACTTAACGACACATATCATCAGACAAAACGTATAAAGCTTATTCTTATCAGACCAGTTTTTGGTGGCATATTTCAAGGGGCACAATTCTGTTCCTAGCTTCGAGTTCTGGATTAATTTGGTCAAGATAAAATAATTACCTCTAGGCGATACATCGGATTATTTGTAATTCGTCCCTGGCAAAGATGATCACTTCACTGTATTGTAAAGCTAGTTACTTTAAAGTTAAACACAAATTCGACAATTTATAAGTATATGGATGCTTCTCTGAAAAAATATTCTAGCTTGTTCACTTTCGTCTGACACCATAAAAAAAAAAATTCTAGTTCATCTATTAATTTACCTATGACAATGACACATTGCAAGACACTTTTGTAGGCCAGCAACACAAAAAAAAAAAAAAAAAAAAAAAATCCTAATCCAGTGATAAAAAAGTTTTTCTCTTTGGGCCTTATATTTAAATCTGCTATTTGGGGATGCATACACGTTGCACATGATCACTAAAAGAAATGACTTACAGTAACCTTGCTTACAAATTACTCATTTTGAGACAGCGACACCACCCTGCCCCTAAATTTCAGTGTAAACTTGTAGATTTCATCCCCCGGCTGTCTAGACGTCTCCAAGTGAGTCTCGAAAATTACTCACCCCTTCTCTTGAATCGTGTCTCTTTGGTGAACATTTAAAGTGTGATTTTGAGGAAAATATGTCAACTTTTAGATGTTTGAGTTGTATACTGTAAATCCCCTCACATTTTTTAAACCCTAGGCTTACATGACATCAAAGAAAACATATTGGAACCTTAGTGTGCACATTTTGTTATGGTCATCCAACCTTTAGATCCTCATGCTTTATGCAAAGATCTGAGAAGAATCAACAGACTGCGATTTCAGATTTTATCTTGTTTTAACTACGGTCAGACGAAAGTAAACAAGCTATTGTAATATTTGCTAGACTAGCTAGGGTACTGTACAGCAGACGAAAAATCTTAAATTCATTCTATCCTTCCACAGCCCCAACTGGAGAAGGTAAGGCGCATGTTTCTTTCATTTGTTCAAAGCATCTTGAACTGTGAAAGAAAATTATTTATAATGGTAGTAGATCTCCCTGAACTTAATCCAGGAAGCGCGCAGGCCCTATTTAAAGGGCATGAGACTGGCTACCTGGTAAGCGCGCAGGCCCTAAATATATATATATAGTATATAGAGAGGGCTGACCCAAGGAACTTAGAACTACTTTTAATCTCCTTGGGCTGACCTAATTTGACCAGGCACGCAGGCCCTATATAAAGGGCATAGACGCTGACCTTTGTCAATGGAAAATTCCAGTATTCCTTATATGCGGAAAATGACATAGTAAATTACAGGTCAAAATTATAAATGGAAGAGGCTAGCCGTACTTAATGACGGCTAGACTGGCAATCTTGCCGTACTTATTCTAAATATGATGGCTAGACGAACCATTAAAAAAAAATAGGCCTACTGAATTGTAAATATAAATTTTTAGTGTGCAGTACCTAAAGTATTTGTATTTGATACGAAGGTGCCTTAATGACAGTGCATGTATTTTAAACCTTCTGTTTTCTAATGTTAATAGGGCCTAAGATATGTACGGCTAGCCGTACTTCATATTGATGGCTGAATTATAAATGAAATTTTTAGTTGGGAGTGTATACAGACCCGGTAACCGGGAACAAAATCACAAAGTATACAGACCCGGTAGGGGAACTCTTTTGTGATTTCTGAAAGTTTCAGCGCCCTCTTGGCTCATGGTAGACCTAGGTTCTTCTAGATCTATGGTCTAGATCTAGATCCAGGCAGACAAACATAAATCTTTGATCTAGTTTCGCGGCTAACCTAGATCTAAATGAAGATTGCGGATATCTTTTCGATGAACGATCGTTTTTCCTCCGTTTTGGAGTTGGTCGAATCAAAATTTGAAGAAAAGAACAAATTACAATGTCATAATTTCAATCGAGCAGTCCCCCTCTCTCTCTCTCTTTCTCTCTCTCTCTCACACACACACACGATTTCTACCTGGTCTGGGGGGCTGAAACTTCCCGAAATCACAAAAGAGTTCCCCTACCGGGTCTGTATACTTCGTGACTTTGTTTCCGGTTACCGGGTCTGTATACACTTCGTTTTTAGTTTGCAATGCCTAAAGTATTTATATTTCAGACAAAGGCCGTCGTTATTCGGACTCGAGTCCGAATAACATTTTTTCAAATTTGGACTCAAGTCCGAATTAAAAAAATTCTTATTCGGACTCGAGTCCGAATATGAAAAAATGTTATTCGGACTCGGGTCCGGAAAAAAGGAAGTGTCTTCGTTCTATAGTTCTAACGTTCAGTGCTTTCAATTTTCCGCCATTTTTTAGTCGTCCCCCCCCCCCCCCACACACCTTTTCTGCCGATCCGATGCCCGCCGCCTCATTGATACGCCCCCCCCCCTCCATGTTTCCCACTTTCTTTGTTGTAGAAAAAGGTGAAATCGAAGATTAGCAGACCACCTGGCACCTGCATATTATGAGTTGTTTATCCAGAAAAAGTTGTGCTGCTGTGTAGAGCTGAGCATACGGCAACTTTTGATTCCATAGACCAGCGCACAATTCATTACGTAGATCTACGTCAAGACTAGCTTATTATTGTAATAATGATCAGTTGCCGGGGGGAAAAAGACTGACGCGTATGCGACGTTCAACGCCCGGACCGATAGTGCCCCCCCACCCCCCTCCCCGACACGCACACAGCCACACATGTGCAGGCCGCCCATCCGACCCCGACACACGTTAACGAGCCATCTTTAATTGCTTCAGATGACCTCTTGACAAATAAACATTTATTAGAAGCGCTATAACTTTTCAGGCCGGCCTCAAATTCATCATAAGATTAAAACTCGGATCCTGCACAAAACGCCTTTTTGCCCGAAGTGATCCCGGTCTCTACCCAGCCTGAGGCGAGTCACGAGTGAGGCAGGACTGGAAGCCGGAGTCACGAGTCACAGGAAGTTGGAAGTGATGTCATGCTGGACAAGAATCAGAGTCCGAATAACATTTTTCATATTCGGACTCGTGTCCGAATAATCACTTCGTCAAACAAAACCAAAAGGTGCCTTACTGACTTGCATGCACAGTCAAACCTGTGTAAGACGGCCGCCCATTGTCAAGGAGAAAAGCGGCCGTATAAGACAGGTGGCCGTCTTAGGCAGGACTGATCAAGATAAAGGAAACAAACCATTCCCATCTGAGGCCCCAATCGAAAGTAGCCCCATTGTTATTGTCTTTGTTGGTGTTGCTGCTGTTGGTTTGTATTTCGTTTGTAATTTTTATTTTGTCTCTGATTTTGCACGATGGTGACAATAAAACGAAATGTATCAGGCAAGGAAGACTGAGTGCCATGTTAAAACAAACACATGGGTCGCCACCACTCGGAGAACGAGGGACGCTTCTGTAACAAGTTCATGTTGACGTCCTTTGTTACTTTGTTACAGACTGGGTAAACAGTAACCACTCATCTCACTTACGATTTGTGTATCAGTTCTGGGCGGGGCTTATGGGTTATGAGGGATCGCACGCTTACCTCACCAGCAGCTGAAAATTGGTAGCTATTGGTCAACAGTGGGAGGGGCCTACGCAACATGATCTGTTGGAGGGACTACCTAACAACAACAACAGGTGATTGAATTATGACGGCTCGCCCACAACGCCAGGGGCCAATGCACAATTTATGACAAAACGTAATGGAGCCACTAAGGTGACCGTCTTAGACAGGTATTATTGCTTAGTATTATAGGGGTTGTGTGTTAAATTATTGTGGCCGCGGCCGCGTTAGACAGGTGTCCGTTTTACACAGTTAAATTGTATAGAAAAAACGCAAGGGGGGAAATGGAAAGTGGCCGTTTGTACAGGTGACCGTCTTATAGAGGTGGTCGTCAGGGCAGGTTCGACTGTATTTGAACCTGAATAATTACTTAATCTAGATCTAATGAGACCTGTGTACTTAACAGGCTTGAGTCGATAGGGCCAAACCTAGATGTAAGTACGGCTAGACTGGCAGTCTAGCCACTTCGATTAAAAATAGTGAATCGCGTTTTGCGCTTTGTTTTATTTAGTTGATCGCTTATCATTTTTGAATGGCTCATTCTATCAGCTTTAAGAAAATATATGGTTTTATATGCCTTTTATCATCAGTTGAGCCATAAATGTTCATTTTTCAGTAGCAGGTATACATCTCGGGTATCTCAGCTGCCCCCCCCCCCCCCCAATGTTTACAATTTACGAAGTGATTATTCGGACTCGAGTCCGAATATGAAAAAATGTTATTCGGACTCTGATTCTTGTCCAGCATGACATCACTTCCGACTTCCTGTGACTCGTGACTCCGGCTTCCTGTCCTGCCTCACTCGTGACTTGCCTCAGGCTGGGTAGAGACCGGGACCACTTCGGGCAAAAAGGCGTTTTGTGCAGGAGCCGAGTTTTAATCTTATGATGAATTTGAGGCCGGCCTGAAAAGTTATAGCGCTTCTAATAAATGTTTATTTATCAAAAGGTCATCAGAAGCAATTAAAGATGGCTCATTAGCATGTGTCGGGGTCGGATGGGCGGCCTGCACACGTGTGGCTGTGTGCGTGTCGGGGAGGGTGGTGGGGGGCACTATCAATCCGGGCTTTGAACGTCGCATAAGCGTCGGTCTTTTTCCCCCTGGCAACTGATCATTATTACAATAATAAGCTAGTCTTGACGTAGATCTACGTAATGAATACGTAATGAATTGTGCGCTGGTCTATGGAATCAAAAGTTGCCGTATGCTCAGCTCTACACAGCAACACAACTTTTTCTTGGTAAACAATCGATATGACACAGGATTGTGTATTTGAACGAATCAGTCTTTTTTTTTTTTTTAAACTTTTACACAGCTCATAATATGCCAGGTGGTCTGCTAATCTTCAATTTTACCTTTTTCTACAACAAAGAAAGTGGGAAACGTGGGGGGGGGGGGGGGGCGTATCAATGAGGCGGCGGGCATTGGATCGGCAGGTAAGGTGTGGGTGAAACTAAAAAATGGCGGAAAATTGGAAGCACTGAACGTTAGATCTATAGAACGAAGACACTTCCTTTTTTCCGGACCCGAGTCCGAATAACATTTTTTCATATTCGGACTCGAGTCCGAATAAGAATTTTTTTTATTCGGACTCGAGTCCGAATATGAAAAAATGTTATTTGGACTCGAGCCTACAATTTAACCGATCGGCCATGGCGGCGGGTTACTTCCGGAGAAACGCTTTTAGCGACATGCCGTTAATCTTAGAAATGACGCATCTTTCTGATTGGCTGCTTATTTTAGTAATGTGATGTCAGCACTTCCTGGGATACCCAAACATGGAACGATGTGTTTTCGGTAACATTTCGGATTTTCTAGATCTAGACTCTAGATCTAGATTTAGAATCTAAATCTAGATCTAGATCTAGATCTAGAATCTAGATCTAGATTCTAGATTAGATCTAGATATAGATCTAGATATCTAAATTTAGATCTAGATCTAGATCTAAATTTAGATCTACCACCCCCCCCCCCCTCCTGCATTTTTAATCACTAATACATTTTTTTAAATAAACAACAACTTCAAAGTCAAAGCAACTCTACAAATTAGGCCTATAATTTATGGAACTGTTGGTCAGTCGGGAGGAGGAAATGAGAAAAAAAAACTGTCCGAGACCGGAATCGAACCTCTCCAAAAGTCATTGCTCGACATCAAACGCAGACGCGCTATCAAATCAGCTATCAGAAATTCCGAGAAATTTGTGTAGATTAAGCATAATATACATAGACACTTCCATCTTTGGTGCCATGCGGTTGTCTATACTTAGATGTAGTCACGTGATCGGAGGGGTATCCTGGTCTGACGTCAAACAAGATGGGCGCCTTACCTAAAAATAGTTTGCATCATTTCTACTTTTAATCGCATGTCTTTTAGCGCTTCTAGGGTTTATGCAAAAACAAATGAATTGAATATCATACCAGATGCCATAGATCTAGATTCTAGAATCTAGATCTAGATCTATATAAATATTTTGATACATGACAACGACAACTATGACAAACTGTTCGAAGATGTTACCTGACCCTGATGATCAATGAAATAAAAATATTCTCGAGACTTCGGATCTGGCATTTGTCCTTGGACATAGTGGAGACATTTGGACTGCGTCACAGGCAAGCATAGTCGACTGGGTAAAAGCAAAAGTTTTTTTGAGAGAGATAAGACAGTCATAGCATCCCTCATCCTTGTATTGTTTCACAACATTATTATCAGCGACCCTTAGCCTTAACCGGAAAAGAAACGCATGACAACAAGAAAACCATAATTGTTTACATCGGAAGTAACGAAAGACGCATGCTCGCATAGCACTTCCTTTTACAGTCTGTGAAATATACTGTGATTCGATAGGATTTTGTGGAAAGACCAATGAAATCTCAGCTTTGAAGAATAGTTGACGCCATCATTTTTCTTGGCATGTCTTGTTACTGAATCACAGAATCAACATGAAAAAATGGATAACCTGAAAGAAAGTTTTCAGACACACTTTCCATAAATAAACTACCTTCAAATACCCTTGTAGATCTACAGAACTATCTTGATAACTCTCTTTGGAGGACTTCTAAAATGGAGTCAAAGAAAGCTTGGAAACTCAGTAAGTTGGTCTGGCTTGATTGCTTCGACATTCTTAGACTAAGACTAAGACTGAGGGGAACCAGTTCTGAGTAAATCATAGATTATGATAGATCTACATTTAGAATCTAATCTAGAATCTAGATCTAGATTAGATCTAGATTTGTAGTTCTTGATCTAGATAGGGGAAGATTGAAGAATACCGGACCACTCGTACATTATTGCGCGAGAAAGTGGGGTAGGGTGGGGGG